CACCAAGTGGGCTGGGCTGTCACACCGGCTGGAGCTGGCATGGTATGGGAAGGGAGGTCCCATGGGTGGTCCCATCGGGTGGTCCCATCGGGTGGTCCTCACTGCAGCTTGGCGACGCTGCTGGGGAGGGGGAGAGCCGGCGCGGGGGTGGGCGCTGCTGACCGTGCCCTGCTTCTCTCGCTCCAGATTTATTCCCCCGATCACTCTAGCAATAACTTCTCGTCAAACCCCTCTACACCGGTCGGCTCCCCTCAGGGGCTTGCAGGTAGGTGAAAAACGTTGCTCTGTGTGTAAAGGGGGATGTCAGGTTTGCTTCCTGGAGGTTCAAGGCAGCGTACTTCCCAAATCAGCCCCAAACCCTCATTAAAGACGCTTCTGGCAATCTCGCCAGATCCCATTTATTTTCAAAAGCAGGAGGGTGATGAGGACGGACAAGCAAAGTTGAAGATACTTTTTAAATGCCTCCTGTGAAGTTGCATGTCCGTCTGCTTTAATGGGCTGTGGCTTTTCCCCCGTTTTGGAGCCGAGCCCAGGTGTGGCAAACGGCGCCGGTGCGAGGGCGATGGCTCTGCCCGCGCCTGGCTTTGCCCCTGCGCAGGAGTTTTGGCAGGCGGCTCTGCTGGAGGTGCGAGCCTGGCCCACACGGCAGCACCGCCACGCGCTTGAGTTAAAGCATCGCTGCCACCCCCGGGACCCGCTCCTGCCCTTCCGACCGACCCCGTCCCTGCCTTGGTGGGGCTGGGAGAGTTTGTCCCTGGTTTGGCTCCCGTGGGAGGAGTGCAGTGGGAGCTGGGAAGCAGCCAACTAGTTAAAAACCATTTTCAGTGCCCGCTGAAAGCCCGTCCCTGCTCCCGTCCCACGGGAGAGGTCTCGTTTCTGCCCAGCAGAGCTGGCGCCGAGGCTCCTCGGTGCCCGGGGCGCAGAGCAGTGCACGCACACCAGCCTGCCGCTCCCCTGGGGTCGGAGCGAGCACGGCGTCTGTGCTGGCTGCCCCCTCACTGAGATGAGAGAAATTTAAAAACCTCTCGAGGTCTGAAGGCCTGAGCTCAGTTTCCCGCTGAGGCAGAGCAGGGGCGAGCCCGTGGCAGGGGCTGAACGGAGATTCCTGCAGGAGGGGCGTGGGATCAGACCGTGACCCCTCACAGCGTTGCTGCAGGATAAGGCGGGCGCCTGCCCTGCGCTGAGACGCCTCTGCGGGCACCCCGCGGCCTCGCGGAGCGGTGGCAGGGAGCAGGGGCGAAACCTGTGCCCCTGTGTGGCTTGGCTGGCTTCGTACGGGCGGTGTGACCGTCCCTGTGCGGCCCCATGCGGCGCTGTGGTGTCCCATGCGGTGCCATGGTGGCCCATATGGTGCCGTGGTGGCCCATGCGGTGCCATGCGGTGCCATGGTGGCCTGGGCGGG